TATAACGTAAATCCTATGTACCGCGCACTCCGAACAAATTCAATTTTCTACCGAAAGCATCGTTCCTTCGAAGCAGCTTCTTACGCGTTTGCAATTTAATCGGCACTACGCTATAGCCGATAAGGAATAATACGCGAACGAAACAATGTCCATGTTGGAAAATCGAGTATCGCGATATTATCCTCGCGAGGACGTAAATTGCGTCTCGCATTACGTGCTCCCATAGGAAAGAGGAACGCGATTGAATTAGACGGGTTGGCGCGCAATCTGTCACGGATGCAATGAAATCACTTAAAGTCGACGTACATGTCGCTGTTAAATTACATTTAATGCCGTGCACCGTCGTCCACGAGCTGTGTAATCGATGACCGAGCAAGAGCTCGCCGTGATTCCGTGGAAAAGCCGGCAAATGCGATTTTAATGTCAAGCGAGTCGCGGCCCTTTAGACGCAGCACCGTATTTTCCACGGGCGTGTCTCTAACGACCCGGCTCCGATGCCCCACGGCTACTTTTACCATTTTGTAACGTTATATTCGCTCGTGGCCCCTGCTTTTGCTCTGTTCACCGCTACTTCACGGCACATCTATTATAAATATCGGTTGACCCAGGCCAACCCGCGCCGCGCCGTCAACTTTCAGACAGAATACTATACGGTTCCGTTCTCTCCGATATCTATCCCTGCAAACTGCCGCAAACCATCGCGATCCGACGCGGTACATCGAACGCGACCGTTCTAAAGAACATAGCTTTCGACGAGCATTCGTTTCGATTCCAACACTTTCGAGTCCTCACTGATAGATAGAACGTGCCGATCAATTAATTGGTTATACTTATTTTAACCAATGTATCGGGTTTCTTCATTCAGTTCAAGCAGGAGACAGTTGGTAAAACGACGGAACGTCGTTAATCCGTCGACTAACCACCCTAACGAACATAAAAAAGGGGACTGAAAGAGACTAAAGCGAGAGCCAAGCGCGGAGGGTTTCTGACATAGATCGCAACACCACCGAGCCACGCTTAATTTCGTGCCGCACCGTTGTTTATTGTCGAATCCTTTTAGCCAGAAGCAGAGTACATTGCTCGCAAGAAGTTCCATCGGATAGAGAGCCGGTCGCCAGGCATCCAAGAAAAAAACGGAGGCGGAAAGAATCTCGTGATTAACGCGAGCGAACCCCCTTAACGACGCTGCTCGTATTTCGTTCGTTTAGAGTTTTAGAGTTTAGAATCGTTATGCTTTCAACGCGTCGAATCGGAGTCGCGATTTTGGTCAACAAGGAAATCGCGTTAAGGTGTCCGTTATTCTTTGCCCGTAATCGGTTTATTAATCGTAAAGAGAACATACAAGGATCTCGTGGCATAGGTATTCGAATTTAAAACTAGTTTTTATCGCTTGCGCGCGGTTGTCAAACTCCTGAAGCGTAGAAGCTGAAAAATTCCAAAGTATCGAAAGCGGCAGTTTCTCGGAACGATTACGACGCAAACGTAAGGAATAAAAAAAACCAATGAAATTGTCGTAACGAATAGTCGTCCAACGTGACATCGAGCGCTCGGGAATGATCGTAAAAACAGCAGGAACGACAAGAACGAGAACAAAGCGATCGTTTTGTTACAGAAGGTCGAGAGAAGCACAGTGGCCGACGAACCGGACGGTCGGGGAACACGCGTTATCGCAGGTAAGTGTATCTAATTAGCTGTGCCGTTTACGTGAACGATTTGCAGTGATTTACGGCGAAATTGTGTCGGCGGGGTACGGTGTGGCGCGGCGACCTTCGTTTCGGAGAGCACAGGTTCCGGGAGTGGTTCTGGCACGGGGCGACCAGACGGTTCAACGTCGAACAGGGAGAAAAGAGGGAAGGAGAACGAATCAGCTAAGCGATCCGCGGCTAAAAAACACTAAAGGATTCGGTCATTTATCACGGCACTGTTCGCCCCGAGGCAACACGGGAATGAAACGGGGAGAAGTATAATCCGTTGGACAGACTAATCGCGGACTAACTATCCACATATTATCTACAATAATACCATGGTGAAGGGTGAAGGAAAACTACTCGGCAACGACGAAACTTTCGAGAACTCGCGAGATTCGATTATTCGACCAATATCTTTTCCACTTTTTTCCACTTTTTTCCACGTTTTTACTTGCCGTTTGTCCACTTCCGTAATTACGTACGCGATACCTTTGTTCGTGTTTTTGCCACGAAGAATATTCGAACGGCTATCAATTCGAACCGGGATCAATTTACAGAATGTACGTTGCGTTTTGGTCAGCGAGATATTTTTGCAGGCTGCGGTCTGCGCTACCTGGCCGCGTAAATATACCGCGCCGTGCCGCACCGCACCGCGCCGCGTCGCGTCGGTCTGCTGCAATTTTGAGGCCTGTCGCGCGTAAATAAAGTGAACTCGAGCGTGGAAATTAATTAGTGTACCGACGAGGTAAAGTATAGGGAAAATTCACCGGCATCGCCATTTAATTGACAAACAAATTTCATTGGCAGTTCCACGAATACCCTGTGTAATCCGTTCTCTCTAATTACTACTCGATTATTGAACGCGAACGTGTTTGTTCGGTTGCTGCCACCAATCTCCTTTTCTCTATTCATTTTTTCTTCTTCTTTTACATGTATCGTCTACTCGTCGAATTTACGGTATTGTTCGATCTCTCCTCTAATTTCTTTGAAACTGCCTCGAAAGATCGTATCGAGGATTCTTTTATTCCGACAAGTCGAATAAACGCGTTAATATGTATTTGCTTAAAGAAGAAACTAATTATTTCTAGTTCGTGCGAGCCGTGAAATTGCTAAAGAGATTGGGAGGGAGGTTGAAAAAGCTAAATAAATTGGAAATTGTTCATATAAGGAAGGTGATTCGCGACGCAAAAAGGTACGGTTAAAAAGGACATAAAATCGGAGACATACGAAGAATCATTACACGACTACGCGTCAGGGTACACATATAACGCCTACAAATTACAGTGTGGCCAACGTCCATCCATCACAAGTGGGCCCATGAGATCCACGGTACCCGTGTACCGCCCCAACGTTTAAGTCATTAGCAATTTCCTGCGCCAGCACTATTTTCGGGCCTAAATTCCATATGGCCCAATAATATCCGATAATACGGTCGAGCAACAGATCGAAGAGTAGATTATATAATTCTATAATTCTAGAAAGCATTTTCAAGTAATGATACATCTGCTATTTTTCATTTCTCATTTATTCGCTAAGGAGAATAATTTCAACAAGATAATTACGTTCGCCAATTTGGCTATGAACTTACAGATTAAGACGATCGAACTCGAATAGAGGCAAACGAATTTAATTTGAATTTCGTCGAAAATTACGATACACCGCGATACACTAAAATTTCAGTATTTCAGAAATTCCCACTTTCGGAATGAACGATTGTCAAAATTTCCGAATTTTTCAACTTACCGACACCGTATGTGTTTCAAGAGAAACGTAATAGTTTCACCAGGTGGCAGTAGCGCGCGGAACCCCCTACATATTAAAAAACTCCTTCGATAACGACGATTGCTAAATAAAACTGAATAAAGAATGTGAAGAAATTTCGAAAATTTTCAATAAAAATAAAACTAAATAAAAATGGACCAATATAGATTTATTATAATTTCAGATAATAGGATCAATGTCAAGACGAAAAGTGCGTGTACGCAAACGTACAGTCACTTATTTCGGACGCACGAGGAAAAGTTGCAAATAACCGAGGCAATAAACAACGCGAATCGGTCTGCGCGAGTCGACGAGGATCCTGTACCTCTCGATAGAGGATCGGTAAATAAATTTATTCGCGATTGAAACCCTGCGTTGGACAGGATAGACGTAACTATTTTTCCCTAATCATTACTCGTACTAGACGTATCGTGGAGGTATAGCACGATAGCGGTCGCGTTTAGTAGAACATAACATAGGGGTAATGAAGTAAATTCTACAACTTCCATATTTTTCCTGTTTTTTTTTTTTTTTTTTTTGCTCGCAACGAAACATGGATCCTGGAAATCGGAATCGCTGGAGTAGCGCAACGAGCGACGGTCAAGGGGGAAAATATCGTCGAGCAAGGAAATCGAGTGAGTTCGTAGAATATAAAAGCGGCGGCAGCGGAGGATTTTTTATCGAAAATAAAGTCTCGTAATTTTCTGTTCACCCTACCAAAAAACCCGCATGAATATTTTTTCGCGAAAGTATGCCCGAAATTAACGCCGCTGGATTAATGAAATTGTTGACCAAACGTGTGGAGGTATACTATAACTGCGATATAAAATAAAATCAATTTCATAAAATGGAATTTATAAAACTATTCGATCAAATTCTTGACACACGTAATCGTAACAGCATTGCCTGCAGCGCGACCAAAATTTCGCTCGACGAATTTCAAAAGTTAACATTTCCTGCGTCAAACTCGATATCGGCGTGGTACTTCCTTTTCTATCATATTTTTTGACGTCATACTTTGTACGCCATACTGGACCCATATATGTAACTACATAGCTATACGCATAAAACGATAACTGTTCGAGCAATCCTCGCGTATAATAGAATTTCGTTTGTAGACATTGCCACGCTCTGTAAACGTTACCTTCACGCTGTTACCTCCACGCGCGTGACAATTTATTCGAAAATGTATAGCGTAGCAGAGGTACTAACGAGCGAAACAATGTTTCAGGTACGAGAAAATCATTTCGAAACTCGAGGAAAAGCTTACACGAACGCAAAAGGATCTTGAAGAAGCTTTACGATCGAAATCGCGGGTTAAAATAAAATACAAAAGGTATATCTTATACCTTTGCGTATGCAAAGTTTCAAAATAAGATATTTTCGAGGAAACAGATTATTTCGAGCGAATAATGAGCTAACGAGAAACTCTGTCACAGATCGTTGGAGAGTATAAAGACAAAAGCACGGAATGAAAGCGAAATGCTGCAAGAAAGGATCGTGCAAATGTGTACATCCGTCATGGAGAATTTTCGTCCAAATGCACCGGATAAGAGAAAGAAGAATTATCGGACGAAATGCCACAGCCGTTTGAAATGTCACGGGAAAATTTCAAGTAAATTGCATAAAAAGGTATAGGAGTATGCGAAGTAACAAACATTCGACGAATTCGATTTTTCCTTTTCCCGAATATTTTTATTCGATATATTAAAGATCCGCTGTTCCGAAATAGCTTCTATTTAAATAAAAATCGGTCAACAACGGACATTAGTACGCCGATACGAACACTATATCGATATAGGAAATTAAATGAATGAGATTCATAAAGTATAATAATTCGGAAATTCCTCGGAAATTCCAAGGAAATCCAAGGAAATTTTTCGAGATAGAAATAACGCGATAACGCATGTATAAAACATTGGTTCCGTTCGTTTAAATATTGTCAGCTGCGGATGGCAGTGGTGAGATCGAGCAAATTGAAACGCGAATTGACAGCTGCGAGGAAAGCGTTGAAAAACAAATCAGAGATGTACGAATCGATCAGCAAATGCTTCGACGAGTTGAAACGCGATATGAACATCACCGAGATGAATTTGAACAAGCTCATTTCGGAGAATCTTTCGTTAAGAAAAAAGATAGAGGACACCAGGGATTGGATAGAGGAACACGGTGTAGCGAAGGGGCAGAACGCTTCGAATTTTTTTCGCGATCTCCATCGAAATCGAGAATTGAAGAATTTAAAGAAGAAAATAGAAGAGGATAAAACAAGGATCGATCAGCTTCGAGAAAGGTAAGCAAGAGAAATCGGTGAATGTTCCGATATTCACTGAGTTCCACTGAAATTCTATTCTAATCGTTATGAAATTGCGCCGATGTAGATTAACCAGATCGGAATCGGCGAACGCCAATAAAGGGTTTCTACTGAACAGCTACAAAAGCCAGTTAACCGATTTGAACAAAGAAAAAACACAACTCGTTACGAAGATAAGCAACTTAGAAAACGAGATCTCTCTGCTTCGAATCAATAATTCGCAATTAAAATCAAAAGTAAATATTTTCATGTTTTATGTTCTTTAACGAGTTTCCTTCGTTACGTCTCAGTCGTTGTATTTAACTCGATAGATAACGATTTTAAATATCGAAAAGGATAAACTGCATTCCGAGTACGAGAAATCCAAGACAGATTTAACAGAAAAGGTAAGAACACGAATCGAGATTAAACTATAATATTATCGCGATCGACGTAATGTTCGTGTAGATATCACGCGTAATACATTACACACCCTTAAATTAATAAGACGAAAAATTTCAACTAACGATCGAACTAATGCTCGATTATAAACGTCGAAATTTTAGCTATTTATCGAGTACCGTGAAATTTGATAAAGAATTAAAAGACTCGTTTACAGATAGAAACACGATGCTCTAAAAAATGCGAACAGACGATAGAACGAGAAACCGAAATTATTAAAGGCAAATACGAAGAAACGGTTAAATCCATGAAAACAAAGATAGTAGATATTTCGAATGAGAACCTAGAATACTCGAAAGCGATAAAGGTACGCGGCTACATGGTTACAAATAGATCGTTTAAAATACTAAACATAGAATAGAAAGAAAGTGAAAGTTTATTAATATTCGTTTTTCTGTTCGCGAGGACTTTTTGAGAAAAGTTTACGACCGAGGGAACTTGGTGTCGCGAAGGAATTCGTACGGGAAGGAGAAGGAGAACGAGAGCGAAAGGGAAGCTCACGAAACAGCCTGTAATATTTTGAATATGACGCCGGAACAACTATCTGGCTTTATCAACGAGGAAACACCGAATTCGGTTATTTAACATTAACGATTAATATTTGAATTTCACGAATACTTACGAATACTTACGAATACTTACGGTTTTCTTACAGATCAATTCCTGGATAGCGGAATTGAATCGCATACTCGCGGAAAGTCGCTTCTCCGCATCCTTGTCAAACTTTTTATTCGGGAAGGTAATGGAAAAATGAAAGGCTTAAGGTATTTTATAAACTTACATGTACTTTCCGAATCATCGAATCACGAACAAAGTGCACGATACAAAATCGTTAGAAACGACGTTTAAAAATAAATAAAATTCGTATTGAATTGGTTACAATATCGATACGCGTATATGAAAATGGTAGAAAACTCATCGATAAACCTTCACCGACCCTTTCGATTCTCCAAACTTTCTCTAAATAATATATCCGAAACTGGAAGTAATCTTGTAAACTTTCGAAATTGTAAGAAAGAGAACCGCTACGTTAATACATATAAATAACGTATACATATAAATAACGATAAACGCGTAGGAAAAGATAACGGAAGTTCCGTCGATCACGATACCTTAAATTACGTGTTAAGGTAACAGAGTTAAGGTAACTCTGGAAAAGTAGTAGGGACTTCTTATCTAAATTCTACTTTCTATCGTATGCAAAGTTACTGTCACGGACAAGGTGTCGATTCCTGGCGAAATACGCGTTAATTCGAGAAACAGCCATCGTCGAAGCATGCCTCTAAAGCAGTGTTCGAAGCTTCAGTTATCGGTGTGCAACTCGCTAGAGCCGGTAGCGTCGGGTGCTTTCTGCAACTGAGCGCTCTGAAATCTATCGTATCCGTTGCTCTCTCCGAAAATCTTCCTTCCGGAGATCCTTTCGTCGTCCTTGACGCTAACTTCGGTACCTATCTGCACCGACCAGGGCATCTTTCCCTCGTTCCTCGTGTGACCAGCCATTTTCCTCTCGTTATTCTGCTCCGGGTGATCATCGTTACGCAAATTCTCCAGCGTCGGTTTTCGACGACTCTCCTCTTCGGGGTAAGAATAAGGTCTGTCCAAAACGCTGGCTCGCTTCGAGTAAGAATCGTAACTATCGTACGGTTGTCTGTAACGATATCTGGTTGGATCGACGTTTCCTGGAATACGTTTATAACTTCCGTCCCTAGAAGCGGGTGTCCTGCTCGCGTCGTAAGGCCTCGGATAGTTCCTCAGATCTACGGGCTTCCTCACGATTTCCGGCAACGTCGCGTAGTAGATGATCCTCTTAGGCTTCGGCGTCGGTCTGCTTCTGCCGTACAAGTCCAGCTCCTCGTCCCTGTAACGGTCTAAGTAGTACGAGTAATCGTTGGGCAGACGCGCGTAATAATCCCTCTCCATTCTGTAGCGATCAGGGTAGTAGTAACCGAAACCGCGACGATAGGCGAACGGGTCGTACTCCCGTTCCCTGATACCGTTGCGGTACCACGAGTAATCGTAGTCGTCGTAGCCCCTGCTAACCGGCATATCTCGAGATTCGCGATGATCGTAGCTCCTCCTATGGTGGCTGGTCACGAAGTCTGCCCTCGGTGCCTGATAGCCCCTACCGTTCGTCGACTCCTCCTCGTCCATGGCCTGCATCGTCCGATCGAGACTTCGCCGAGGAAACTCCACGGACAACGGTTGAGCGGACCAAGAATCCGCCAGGCCGAGACGGGCTTCCCGTACGTTTTTCTTCGATATCTCTTCCAGGTTCGTTTCGTTCTCCGCGTCGCGACGTCTCCTGGATACTCTTTCCGCCGGTCGAACGGTCATCGCGAGATCCGCGTCGTTTCTTTCGCGGGGACGATTTTCTTTCGGGACAACGTCCGATTCGATGTCACGTTTCTTCGAGGTTCTTTCAGCCTTTTCGAGAGGATTCAGGTGACCGAAACCGCTCACGGTGCGAATCTCGAACGCGGAAGAATCCGATCTGGGCCAGGATGGCTGATCCCGGTAATCCGTGCTGTGCGGAGAAACTTGCCATGCCTCGCCTATCCCTGCTGCATCGATTTCCGTTAGTAAGAATAGCAGCGGATACACTCGCAACGGGATAAGCCTCATATTCCTTTTCCTGAAACAATCCTAACAATTTCATCTGTAAGAGCTTCGATTGAAAATTTCCTCCCTTCGAAAATACTCGAAGTATTATGTATTCGTTACGTAGAGACGTATCGATTATTGATACCGATATCTATCTTATCCGTTCAGACTTTTCGCGGGTCGTTCATAGTTTTCTAGTCAAGAACCAACGCCTAGATAAACCGAATAGTGCAACGAACTCTCGCTGTTAACTCTCGACAAGTTGAATTCTAGTTCGATTTTGCAGGAGGATGCCACGTTAAACGTAGTAGAGTGAACAATCACGCGACCGGATCTACGTGTTGCCCGGAACCAGACATAATACCACGGAAACGACTGGGAAATTATATTTGTTATGGGGAATCGGACTGGCTGCTTCCACGACCGAGGACGATTTCATCTGACCGCGCGTTTACCGGACGGAACGGTCATTAAACGTCTGTCGTCTACTTTTTTCTCTTCGTTTTTCAACCTTTCGATTAACCTTCACTGTTTAAGATAACGATCATTCTATTATTCTTCATTATCAGTTCTTTCCCGCGTTTCTTAGTCTCTTCTTTTACGAGCACAAATATCTGCGCACCGAGCTATTACTCGTTATCCTGGGATCGAATCGAGAAAGACTGGAATCCTTTAAATACTATCGGTATAATGCCTACTAATAGTATCAATCAAGGACTATTGCTTGTATTGTAACAGTCTAGGAATTTAGACAATATTTATACAATATTCCTCGCTAAGATTAGTGCAGCTTTTGAATAGTGTAATATAACATGTTCGAGCTGCCCCGGATATGTTGGACACGGTCTAATGCAAAATGGAAAAAATAAGCGAAACAAGGAAACAGAGCCCAAAACGTCTCGGCATAGCGGAACAAATCTTCAACAGGAAGATCTCCTCCGTTAACATCGCGCAGTTACCTTCGCTGTTTTACAGTTATCAACCGTTCACGGGCCGCTTTGTTTTCCTACTGTATTTCGGTCCTTTCTTAAGTGCTCGCCTCGCCAACAGATCCACCGGATGAGATCAAATAACGGGCAACGCAACGATCTGGAGCGCCACATCGTGCCACCATAATTCGCGTTTCATATTATCGAGTTGACAGTTTTTATTATTCGCGGGAACGACAGAACCTTCCGAACAAATCCGCTTTTCGCTCAAATATTTATATCCGTTAGAAGAAATATTACATCTTAATTTCGGCTACTTTTTATTCTTATTTTCATTCGAAACTCACGAAGCTAAATCGTGAAAAGGACTAGAATTACCTCTACTATCTTCTTCGATTTCGGATCACCGATAAATATCACGTTGTCGTACCGAAGAAATTCTCTCGTTTATAAATAAGTTATAAATAAGAACCGATTTATTATTTTCTTTCTCCTTACTGGTTTTATTCCATGCGACGAGAAGGCGAATTTAAGAAGGCTCTTTTAAAATATTTTTTGAAGGTGCCAAAATTGATTGTCGGGGAAAAATTGACGAGACAGTAAAAAGCAGAAAGCAATATGAAATTAAAAAAAAGAGGAAAGAGGCTTACTTGAATTCCAGAGGGGGTCGACGGGTTTCGAGAGCGTGGTCGACTGTCCAGCGTTACTACGGTTACTACTCTCCGAGAGCGGCGGCGGCGACGACTACGGCTTCCCGGCTCCCGGTTTACCCCGGCTTCGTATCAGCATACCTTGCATGTGCTCTTGTCGCTGGCTAAAACACGATCACTCCCCCACTACTTAACGCTTCTCCATTGCTCGTCGTTTTTAACTGTAATTCTTGTTCCGAAAGATAATGGTAAACGGTTTCCTCCAACAGGATTCTACCACAATAGATATAAATTTAAATCGTTAAATAAATTCTATTTTCGCTAAGATATTATTTTTACTCGAATAAATTCTATTCCCCCGAATAATCGTTAAATATCTGCTTGCTTAACCAGGTAAATGTTTAACAATTAAATCTCCTCGAAGTTTAATGATATAATTAAATAGGCTTTCGTATAGATTTCTTCGATGAGAATCTCTTCTTCGTATAGATTTACATATGTACGCCGGTATATAATCACAATAACGTACCGTACAAAAAGACAGAAAATTAGTTGGAAACATTAATAATAAAGGTACTACTGTTACAGGGATATATAGAAAAAATTTGTCTCGAATTACGAAACGATATAAAATTATATTGGATATCCGTACAGCAGCCTTTGTCGAACGATTTCACTCCACAACTCTGTACGATAATTTACATGGTACGAAAAAAGCGGAATAGAGAGTATAGTTTAAAAATAGAATAGAGTTGAATAAATTGTGAACAACATAATACATAATAGCACTGTCATGCACTACGGTGCATAAATTAGGGTAGAATTAAATACGCGTAGCATATACGATACCATGACAAAACCACCTTTTAAAATATTTTAAATACATCGGGAATTGCAAATATTTGAAATTTTCTTCGAAAATCTAATTACTTTAACTATAAAACGTTCGATAAAACTGTATAGAAATTAAACAAAACGAGTTTCATATTTTCCCATCGTTTCGTTAGAAATTCATTTTCACTTACTACGCAATTTTAACATACACATATATTCCTCTTTTAAACAATGTTCAAACTTACAATTAGTATGAAATCTCTTCCGCGTTATAAGTGATCTATTCGGAAATTTAGCCAATCAAAAGACGCGTCTACGAGAAATACGTGCCCCATTCGGTGTTCGTATATGAATCCGCGTTATTGATTCTTTCGATTCGAACGAAAATGCAGAAAATATCGCTGCCTATAGGTTAGTAACTCCGTAAAAGTCGCTTAGTACGCGAATAACTTTGGTGTTGTGATAATGTTTCGATAACTTACGAACTAATACAAAATGCACCGATCAAACGTGTTATCGAATTGATGTAAATATTTCGAGCAACCTATTATTTATATTCTTAAATATATAATAATTCTATCGATTGAGGTTATAATAATAGAAAGATGGCAGAGGAGGGAAAAAAGATTTCCTTTGGCTTTGCAAAATCTATTAAAAAACCAATATTAAAAACTACTGTACCGCAAGAACAGAAAAAAGTCGATTATATTGAATGCCTTGACGAGAAAGGTATTAAAGTAATCGGGTAAGTTAAAAAGTAACAATATAAATGAACGGATCGTTTCAACCTAACCTGTACAAATTGCAAATATATACTTTTGTTTTTTTATTACAGAGAAGAGGAGAAAAAAGATGAGCCCCTCGTTATTCCTTTACTGGGTTCCAAAACATGGCACGATAGAATTATTAACAAAATTGATGCCGATATCTTTGAAACCAAGACGATAAAGGAGGAACCAGAAGATGTTAGCACGGAGCAGAAACAAAAGTCTTATATACCTAATGGTAGTACATCTCCCAAGATATCCGTCAAAACAGAACCTATAGACGATAACGGGGATAAAGCTGTCACTTTGGAAGAGCAAGCGGCTAAAGAAATCATTAATGACCTAGAATCTAAGGAAAAAGAACAACAAAGCCAAACGTGTACGTTAACTTTACCTTTAACGGAAGATCCATCGTTAAGAGGCAGAGAACAGGTATCTTTCTATAGCTGTTTCGTACGTACGTATTCCTGTATAGCATACTTCTGTATTATCGATATACGTTTCACTGTTTTAGTCTACCCTAGAAGATTACGAGAGAATTCCTGTTGACGCTTTCGGTTTAGCAATGTTGCGAGGGATGGGATGGCAGCCTGGGAAGGGAATCGGTAAAAATGAGAAGTACGAATTTTGTTACTTAATTTTTCACCTGGCAGATTTGTATTTACGAAGAAACATTTTACAAGTACATGATCAGTTGACAACATTATACGTATGCGAAACAAAAAATATAACTTCATTCAAGATCGACAAGATAGAAGAATCGCCTAGTATATAATATTATGTTACTGCCATTATGATACAAGCGTAATAAGAAATAATTTATCGGCATTACTTTGTTTCATAAATTTCAATCGAACATCGCAGAGTTGTATCGGCTGTTGTACCTGAACTACGTCCGAAAGGTATGGGACTTGGAGCAGACAAAGTGACGTTGCAAAAGAAAACAACAGATTCGAAGAAAACCGAAGAAGAACTTAAAATCGAGAAAGGCACTTTTGTCAAAATCATTGCCGGAAAACAAAGTAACAATTATGGTCAAATAGAGGGATTCGACGATGATGCTGGAAGACTTATCATAAAACTAGCGCTTGGAGGGAATATTATTTCTGTAAATGAATTCATGGTGCAACCTGTAACTAAATCCGAGTACTCGAAGAATTCAAAAGTTCTAAGTTAGTACAAACATCTAGTTTTTCACTGGGAGACTTTTAAAAACGGAGACATCGGTTACGTCTATTTAAATAAAATTAAAAGTTAAAAATTAAAAATTAAAAATTAAAAATTAAAAATTAAAAATAAACGATTTCTATTCGTTTTGAAGCATCGCTTTATTAGATAATTTTTAAAAGTCTCCGAAATTTTTATTAAATTCATGATAAATATAGAAACGTTAGCCTTTAGTATTTTATGGCGTTAATTTTAGATGCCAAGAAATACGAAGAATATAAAGATAAAGCGTCCACAGAACTAAAACGTAAAACTGACAGAATGAAAAGGTCAGCTTCTGTATCCTCCGAAGACTCTGAAACCGATGATAAAAATAACGAAAGTGTTAAGAAAAAGAAAGATATTTCATACGACAGGAAATCGAGAAGACGGAAAAGGTACTCGAAATCTGACAACGAGGATGACAGTGATTACGAGAAACGGAGGAAAAAAGGAACGAGTATTTCTAGCGAGAGCAGCGATTCTTACGAATCGAAAAAATCGAAGAAATCAAAGAAGCACAAGAAAAGTTTACCAGAAAGGTCGAGTAAAAAGCACAAGAAAAAAGATAAGGAGAGAGAAAAGACGAGAGATAGAAGATCAAGAGACTTTTCGGATAAACGGAAACATAAGAAACGAGGAAAATCAAGATCTCGATCGTCTAGTAAACGGTAACATTTCTCGAAAACAGATTCCGTTATTTTACTTTTGCGACAGACTGTATAGTTTTGTTTATATACATTTTATAATAAAAGATATTTTTACAAAATCCGAATTGTATCCTGCCCCTAACCGAATTATTTAAGATGCTCGAACGATGAGATATTTCTTTCGTTGTACCAGAATGAATGAAAATTTGAAATTCACGCGCCTTTATTGCGCAATCTCGCTATACATATACTTAACCTCCAAAAACATTATGGTAGTCGTGAATATCGTTAAACAACTGGTGCGAACAATGTCGAGTAAGCACCGTTTATAATATTATAGGTAGAATATAAAAAAATATATTATTAAAAATATACTTAATCGCTTTTAATATATTTTTCAGCCTTTCGTTTGGCATTAGTGCAATTACAAGTTGGCGAACTTAAAACGAAGAATATAGATCGTGCACTTTCGTTCATCTCGGATGCGAAAAAACAATCCGCGGATATTATCGCGCTTCCCGAGTGCTTTAATTCTCCATATGGGATACGTAATAATATTTTTTTTTATTGATTTCTTAAAGTAGGCATTATTAGCGATACCTTACCAAAGGCTGTTCGATAGACTCGACAGTTGAGAATATTTGTAGTTCTTTTAACATTTTTCCAAAGGTCATCGCGCCTTTTGTTATTCATACTCTTCTCGTTCGTCGTTTCTTTTATACGAACGAATACATATATAATTGGTAAAATTCAGAAACGACCGTAACTCGCTATTGTTACATGTAAAAAGTGTTTATTCGATTCGCGGTTCGGAAAGACCGTCAAGGTCGTTGAGCAATCAATTCGACTACACTATATATTTATACATATGTTTTCTGAATTTTATTTGAACGTTATATATTAAAATAAAATGATCTAAAATAGTTCTAAATTGAAATTGAATTTCCAACATTAAAATTACACGGATCACTCGATCCGTTATCCTTTTATTTCTGCCATAACACCAGCTGTAAAACTATTAAATGCAATTAAGGGTCGAGTGACATTTAATCCGTATTCATACAGAATACTTTCCACGTTATGCCGAAAGCATTCCCGATGGAGAAACAAGTGTCGCGCTATCGAAAGCTGCCAAAGAAAATAGCATTTACGTAATTGGTGGTACGATACCGGAAAGAGACGGGGATAAATTATACAATACCTGCACGATTTGGGCACCTAATGGAACTCTGATAGCGAAACACAGAAAAGTAAATATAATACTTGCTTTTCTTTCATCGATATCAAATACCTGTATCGATCGCGAGATAACATTCTAAATAGATTGTTTTTATTACATCAGGTACATTTATTCGACATCGATATTCCTAATAAAATCACTTTCCGCGAAAGTGATTCACTCAGTCCTGGTAATTCGTTGACGATGTTCGAAGTTAAAGGATGTAAAATAGGCATTGGCATTTGCTACGATATCAGGTTCGAGGAAATGGCGCGCATTTATCGAAATAAAGGTACAGTAGTTACCAAAGCCCGATCAAATCATTTCTTTTCTCTACCTTTATACATATAGAAGACTTTCGTCATTCGGATAATAGAATTTCTGTAACGGAATAAAGAAAGAGTAATTCTCTAGATAATTAGGTATATACCAGACACGTTGAAAGTTGCCATCCGAGAGTAAAACGTCGTCTTCGACAACGCGCGCCGTTGCTACGACTGTATTAGTAATACCGAAAGACAGTATCGGTAAGCAACGAAAGACGTCGCGTGGTTCTTCGAAGACGTAGCCGTGCCAGGAGAAAATACGATCGAAAAGGAATGTGACGTGACCCCTACGCTGAACAGGCCCGAATTCGCATACATGACATACATACATATACATATTGGATCAATATATTATGAAATATTTTCGAACGAGATTCGGTATTATTATATGTATATGTATGTGTACGTAGAATATAAGCCATCGACGCGAATCATAGAAAGTAAACGAATATTTTTCTGGGTCAGGCTGCCAAATGCTGATATATCCGGCGGCATTTAACATGACCACTGGACCACTACACTGGTCGTTACTTCAGCGTTCGAGAGCAAATGACAATCAATTATACGTTGCATGCATATCACCGGCTCGTCTACCTTCAGCCGATTACGTCGCATGGGGTCATACGCAATTAACCAATCCCTGGGGAGAAGTTCTCCACGATCTGGAAACTCAAGAGAGCATGATAGTGACCGATATAGGTAATGGATTTGATCCTTTTCCAACGAGAACAATTCCAATCGCGTATCGATGCGACCGATTAAGCCAAAAAGCTATTCGCCTAACTCGAACGTGTTCTCTCCGAAAACCTTAAACTCGTATCGTCGAATTATTCGGTCACATCGAAGTCGATCGTCGTTCAGTTGTTTTAATCGACGATGTCTTAATTTTCCTCTCTGCTTCTGTTTCTAGACTTGAAGATCGTAGAAGAAGCGAGGGCACAAATTCCTACATTTTCCCAAAGACGCACAGATTTATACGATACGATTTGGAAAAACGATTAACCGAACACTAAACTCGATGTTAATTAATTCCATAACCTGCAAATATTGTACAAGTCTTTAATTCATAAACTTTTTTTACCGTTGAAAAAAAAAGAAATAAACGACTTTTATTCTTTTTTAATACGAGTATAACATTTACGAAGTATACATGATCGTAGAAAAGCATTTGTAGTTTTCAGACAGTTTCGAAAATGTGTCTTGTACTAAAGGAAAGCAGGAAAAACGGAACTCGTAATAGTTGTAAATATAAGTTGTCTCGTTTCTGTAACCGAGATCAGTGCTATAACTATAAAAGAGAAAAGAAAATGTTTCCAAAATGATGTAAGAAGTATTAGAAGTTCATAAATGTTTGTTTAACTTTCCGGCATACGCAAGAACGGACAATGCGACGAGCGCGACTTCTCGATTGAAAATGAAAAACAACGATACTTCGCAAACAAAATAGGTTTTCCTAACCCAATTCTTCCAACATGTCGTGTTAAATAAAATGTAAACAAAATTTTCAAGTATATCGAACCCACTCAGTTTTTAAACAAAAACAACAGATTCAAACGTTTCGAATAAACAGAAAATAAAGCAGGAAATCGAAAATGCAATAACATTATTTATCCGTAACATGAAATCATTGATATTACAATAGAAAACTTGTCGTGTTTCGCGAGTCGCCTCTCGTGCAGAGAAAAGTACTATCTTTAAAGAAATATATATTACTTATTCGTATAGATAGGAATACGTAGATATACTATTATACTGTACTATTAGAGAAAAGCAGCATGGAAAAACACGATGATGCTCCGGAAGATGTGAAACGTGCTACTCCGGTCGAGCGTGAAATTAGAAGGGGTCAGAAAGATGACACGTTCGAAGGATATCCGCGAATAGTTGAGAAGAAGAAAAGATGGGAACACTGCGATAAGCCACCTTCGAAGAGATTAAAGGTAAATCCTTTAATTTCCTGTCTCCGTCTCTCCCTCTCTCTCTCTCTATCTCCGTCTCGTTGTTCGTTACAACGACGAATTCGTTAAGAACACGCGTGAATCGAATTGATTGGATATGTTTGTTAGGCAGCGGCTAAATCAAACGGGGATTGTTGCGACCAACAAAGGGGAAAGAAGAAAAAGACAGCGAAATTCGCGATGGTTTCGGTGTACGAAAAACCGTGTACGTTTCCAAAGTTAGACATCGTGCCCAGACATTGCTTGAGCAAACAAAAATACATCGACATGTTGGCGAAGCCAAGGTGATGGTTCGATTGGCACCATCTATTTGACGATATATACGTACACATGTATATCGTATATATCGGCGAATAAGGTCGATCTGGAGAACGGAAGTAACCAAAGATTCTAAATGCTTGTATACAGCCGGAAATGTCCACCAGAATGCCATAAAAAAACGGTGCTTAGGAAACTGAAACCAGTATCGGCACGGATCAAAGAATTGGCTCAACCGACGAGACAACGAATGTTAATTACTTTGCAAGAAGGCGCGGCGACGCTTCCACCGGCTTTTCTAGATAATCTAGTTCGAACTTTGGAGCACGAAACTTGCTTAACACCCGAGTAAAGTATTGCTCCTTCGAAAAATCGTATTCGTTGATCACATTTCCGTTCCGTTCGGTTCCGTTTATGCTCCGACCGTGTGATCCTCGAGCGAACAATAATTTTATGAACGATACGTTTCAGACAAGCGGCAGCGATCTCGCGTAAGAAGAAATTTCGTAAGAAGGAAAAAGGAAGAAAAGCCAAGTGGCAGTTTAAAGACACAAGCAAATCGAGAAAATCGAGAAAATCGAGTATCGGTATAACGAGCGCAGGATCAACGTACGACAAAGATTCGGTTACTTGTCAATACCTTATAGCCGAACGTTTCGTCAGAAGTATTCTAAAGTGGAAATGTCCAGTCCCTAATGCAGAATTGAACGATATATCGGAAGTGATAATTGGACGTTTGATCGATACACTCGAGTACGATTCTCCGGAACAGGAAGATCGAAAATCGCAGCAAATAAACTTTTTGGCCGAGGCGATAGCTTGTTGGGTAGCCGGAGTGCTGTCCGAGGTTGCTCAGAATCAAGAGAAAAAATTGATCGAACGATGTCAAAGAAAAGAAGAGGAAATAAAAGCAGACGAGGAATCGGAGGAGGAAACGGAAGAGGAGGAAGAGGAAAAAGTCGAAGTCGAAGAAGAAGAAGAAGAAGACGAAGACGAAGACGAAGACGAAGACGAAGACGAAGAGAGGAGAAGAGATTCGAGAGAAACCTACGATAGCAAAATGGACGAAATGGAAGAAACGGAGGAAGAGCGGGACAAAGATGAAGAGACGGGAGATAAAGCAATGGAAGATACGGAGGAACAGGAAGCGGAAGTCGTGGAAGAAACGGATACAGTTGATCTCGAAGAAATCGATGATAGGAAAGCATCGGTAGAAGCGGGAACGGAGACGGAACCGGAGACACAGTTGGATACGGAAGCGATAGCAGAAACCGAAGACGGTATGGAAATACAGGTAGAAACAGATTCGGAAACGATAACAGCGGCATCCGAGGCGAAAATAGACTCGGACGTGACAGAGGGACCAGACACGGGAGAGGAATCAATATCGGAAGTAACGTCGAAAATAGACACGGAATTAGAGATTCGACCAAGGACGCTAACGCAAACACCGACGGAAGAGGCGGAAGAGAAAGTAGGAGCAGAAGTCGAGATAGAAGGGGAAGAAGCATTACCGGCGGAATCGGAAATCGCGGAAGAACGAGTGGAAGAACCGATCGTCGAAGTAAAAGAAGCGGAAGAAGAAGCAACCGACGAAGGTAAATTGGCCGCGGAACAATTAGAGGTGAGCGTGTCGGAAGAAACGGAAAGAGAAGAAGAAAAAGTAGAAAGTTTCGAACCGGAAGAGAAAGATTTGATGGCGGCGTTAGAAGTAAAGGGTAAGCCCGAAACGGAAATTCCGAAAGACGTTATCAAGGATCTGAACGAATTATTCAAGAGCGATATTCCGTTCCTAACGTTCGGTAAAATTATCGACACCATTTACAAAATGATCGAGGATACGCCGGAGAATACTGGCAAGGATCCGATAACGAACGGCATTCATCGCGCGATTTACGAAAAGTTAAAGGATATCGCGATGCTGGAAAATCCAGAACTATTGACAGAGGAGTTGAAGAGCGTTATGTACATGGTATGCGGAAAGATCGCGAATTGGTTAAGAACGATTCTGAGTAAATCGCAGCTGGCCTTTATGCAACAATTCGTGCCGGAGGTGGAATCTAAAGAGATTCGAGATTGGACAAAATGGCTAGGGTATATCAGCGACGTGGCTATAAATTGGAATTCGTGGTTACGCGACGTAATAGAGAAGATGTTCGAAATGGAAAGCGCGCCGATCACTCGCGGAGAGTGGCGAGACTGGACAAAATCCGTGGACGCGAAAGCCTTGCTTTGGAGACGATTCCATCTTCAAATCAGACATCGAGCACAGCGCAACGTTACAGCGATGAGCGGTCGTCGCGTAGTCAAAAGCTCCGGCAACAAACGAATTTCTGCCGAGCCTAGCGAACAGCTAGTTATGGCTCTCGATACGGATACGGTGGCTTGAAGAGCCTCCTCGCGATTTGCGATTAAACGCACGCGATCCTTTCCTCCGTAGACTTTCATCGACGCTTCAGCCGTTCGAATACTTCCTCGTGTCCGATGAAATTCTTCGATAAACGACAGGTTGTTCGATCGACGACAGGAAAACGCGTTTAAGAAAAAATCGATCGCCGTCGAAACGTGCTGGATCGTGAAAATTTCATCGGTACTCGTCGAGCCATTTATTTACGATCGGTTCGACGAAACCGTTGCCGATAATCGTTCCGTTCGATAAATTTCAATCACGAAAACTGTAAACATTTCATTCGGAAAATATACTGTACGCAAAGATTTTTCCTTTCCGAGTGGTCATTTAATCCACGTTCATTCGGGTATCTTTGACCGAAGGATTTCGTTCGCTTTACTATAATTTGGAGAAACGCGACCAAAGAGTCTACGATCATCTACTTTCTCGAGTAATGGTACACGTTACGCGAGAAATATCTGAAAGCGTGTCAAAGAAAAAGCGAAGCGTTCCCCTCTCTCTCTCGCTCTCTCTCGCTCTCTCTCCCTCTTGTCGAAGTAACGAGCGGCAGAACTTTCTTCCGGGATAGCTTAGCCCTGACATTGCTCGCCTCGTCATCCAGAATCACGTCCAACGTCGCGTTCGTGACCGCCGTTCGCGTCTATGCTTTGCGCCCGCGCAAACTCCATCGCCTCTACCCGTTATCGACCGCGTCTCGATATCGTGCTTTTTCCACGTTTCTATTCTCTCCTTTCGACTCGTTACGCGCCTCCTTTTCTTCTATTTTCGGACTACAGTCTCTGTGTTTACGGGGCTTTCTCCGCGTGTACGCGTGTGTGCGCACGCCGTACCGCGCAAGCTTTCTTTTCTGCTTTCTCCTCGATCCTGTTTCACGTATCATCTCGTATCTCGTCTAGTCGTTGAGTCGTTGTTCGGTGTTGACGTTCACGGCGGTCTTTGTCGTTCGGCGGTCGTTCGCTCCGATGCCTGTACCCGTGTCCAGCGAAAACGGTTTTCTGCGAGACTGCAACAGCGGTCGCGAGTGCGTCGGTGCTTTCTTTTTCCTAAGAAATTACCTTTATCGATTCTTTTAATGCACCGGCATATCTATCGTGCCGAAGAAATACGCACCGTACCGATCGGCCAATTCTAAATACAGGTAAGCGTCCTCGAACCGAGTCCACCGATACGTTAAACATTCATTGCCGATCTTACCGTGTCGCAAAAACATACGAGATCGAATCGCAAACTGGAGTAATTTTTTTTTTTTTTCATTTTTTTTATAACGTTTGATCGTTCTAGTGCAATATCGAAGGCTTTTTTTACGACTGCGCACGATAAAAAATGCTGTTACTGTACGCAAAACGACGCGACAGAAGTCAATGTTAAACAGCATTAACAATTCTAATGTGTATCGCTAATGTAGCCATCGACTGTAACGCGCCGGCCAATTAAAATTAGACTGACCATTTTCACGATAACGACGCGACTATTTTTCGGACGATTCCGGTAGTCTACGTTACCCTGACAAATTCTAAAACTGCTACGCTTTTTCGAAAAAAATGTCACGAATACGATGGTGAAAGTTGCGTTAAAAGAGGATTGAAAATAAAAAAGTTAATAACGTATTCGCGTTATAAACAGACTTTTCTCTTTCTTTTCCGCTCGTCATCCTTTCCTCCCTTCGAAATTTATTACTGTCAGTTATACGGTAAAAGTTTGATAACGGAAAAATTGAAAATAAAGCGAAAAAAAAAGTTTCATATATTTGCATCGGTATTCTCTTATGGTTATACTGGAACGTGGACGAGGTTACATTTCTCAGTGTTTCGAGGTTTCTTCCCCCCAGTGCTGGGGATCATTTGTTCTCTTATATCGCGTAGATCATTTTCCCGCGTATCGAGACTTCGCTGAACTTCTCTTGCGAATAATCGATAGACGTATCTTGATCGTCGGATATTCGCGCACAATTAGTTTGCGTTACGATATGATGCCTCGATAACGTATGATACTTACGCCAGTAGCTGAAAACAGATTTCTACATAACAGCATTACAATAGAGGTCACAACCGCGTGCAATGCGACCGATAATGACTAGCTCGATCGATCGCATTATCGTAACGCGGAGTCACTGGGGGACGAAACGTAAAATACCAAGATTCGTTCGAAGCCGATACGTAACGTGTACAGCGACGTTGATAAGCGCGCACGGTTAGTCGTAGAAATCAATCGTATCGGACAGGACTGTGAACGAAAACGGAGCAAAGGAAAGAAGACGAAACGGAAAGAAAAGAAAAGAAACGAATCGAATCGAATCGAATCGAGATATAGTTTTAAATTCGATCTACGCTTAAATTATTTCAGGATGACCCTAACGTGTTGGGATAAATTGTCGCTGGTCGTATTAACAGCGGTTGGATTGCGGATTTTACTGCGGCTCGGTATTTTCGTATGGAAGAAAATTATAGGGCCGACGTTTAATTTCGGTATCGATATAAGAAGCCAAGGTCGATGGGCAGTGGTGACCGGTGCTACCAGCGGTATCGGAAAAGCGTACGCCGAACAATTCGCGCAAAAGGGTCTGGACGTCGTGTTGGTCTCGCGCTCCTTGCAAAAGCTCGAAAAAGTCGCTGCGGAGATCAAAGGGCGATACAACGTTCAAGTTCGAATCGTCGAAGCAGACTTGACCGAAGGACAAGCGGCTTACGCGAAAGTTGCCAAAGCCGTCGAAGAACTCGAGGTACTGTATTGTTTTTTCTTTCGTTTCGATTATCTTGTTATTTTTTTCCCCCGAAAATTCGCCGGAATTTTCCTCAGAAATCTGTACGGTTACGTGTTACTTAATCGTCGGTAAATCGCGTGAAAAATATTAATAAATATCGAAGGAAAAGGAATCTCGCGTCACGCGAGATCAAGGAGTCACGCGAGGCGAGTCACGAAACGGCACAGGGCCAACAAAAGTTCGCGTTGTTCGAATCTCGCGAGTTCGAATCGGCAAAATACTCGACGGACGGACGAATCGGCGAACGATCATCGAATTAAAGTTTGTTTGTCGTAGATCGGTGTAGTGGTGAACAACGCGGGAGCTAGTTACGAGCATCCAGAGTTATTTACCAAAATCTCCGAAGAATGCGTGGCGCAAATCTTGCAACTGAACGTTGCGGCTATCACCGGAATCGCAAGGGCTCTTCTTCCAAAGATGTTCGAGCGTAGAAAAGGAGTTTTAATAAATATGAGTTCGGCATTGGCTCTTATACCGACGCCTTATTTGACCGTGTACGCCGCCAGCAAGGCTTTCGTCGCGAAACTTAGCTGCGATTTAGCCGCGGAAGCCGAACCATACGGAGTCACCGTCCAATGCGTTATTCCTGCTCTGGTCGCGACCAAGATGTCAAAGATCAAGTAAGCGCTTACTCGAATTCATTTACTCGATTTCCTCGCTGTTCGCTATCCTGCTTGCTTACGCAATCGTTATTCGTTCATGAAATTCATATTTTTCGCATCGAACGGAAATAACGTAGAGATACGTGACTATGAGAAATAATGTACCGACTTTAGATACACCGTATCACAGCTACCGATCGTGCGTTGTACATATTTGTCACGGGGCTGTCGTGCCGTAACTGCTCGAATCGTAAAAGAGATAACACGTATTAATCGTATCGTGTCGTATCGTTTTCAGGAAAGCCACGTGGGTGGCACCAAGCGCAGAAAAATTTGTGGAATCGTCGTTGAAGACGGTCGGCATCGAGTCGATTACGACGGGCTACTTGCCTCACGATTTCCTAACAGGTGCTGTACAGGCGTTACATTACATCTGGGAGAAAGGTGCAGTTTGGTTGATCTCGAAGACCATGTGTAACATAAGACGCCGAGCTTTGGGAAAGAAAGTTAGCAAACAGCAGGGAAATGTTAAGAGCGCGTTGTAACGTATAATTTCGCTTTCTTTTAACTACTTCCGCCTTTTTCCTTCCTTGCCCCAGCGCCGACAAAATTTTAACAAGACACCACTCTCTACACCCTTTCCCTGCGATTTAGTCATTCGGTCAAAACTATTACGTATCTTGTTGGTAATGGTCGCGTTCCAAATATACGGTACTTTAGTACGAGGTAAGTTTCGGTACGACGTAACGTTCACCGCGGAACTGAAATTACTAAAACTTGTCTCTTCTATTTATCTCGCCAATGCTTTCCCAACTTGACTTGATTACCCTTGAAACTACTTGTTACGTTGTTTGTACATACACATATTGTATATTTTGTAATTTATAATTATTACATAACAACAAATAAAAAAACTGTTCCTTTTATTATTCTTCCGATTACGTAACCCTTTTCCCTTCTTACGGCTTATCAATTAATACTATTATCGATCTTCGCTTCTTTTATAAGTAAAACAGATATATGGAAGCAATAAGTTGGAAATCATAGTTCCTATAATATAGGAATACTATTATACTATTCGCTCGCAAACATGAAATTAAAGATGAAATCGTAAATGATCGATTCTCGAGCGAATATCTTTACAAGTATCGCGTATCCCGTTGAATCGTTGTTCGAAATTCGAATTGAACTAGCTTCACGTTTAAACGAGAAAGAGGGTACTTCAGCGAGACGGCAAATGTTTGAAATGTTTGAAAGGTAATGTTAAACAATTTTCGGATTAAAAATGGAATAACAGAAATATTTCTGTGCATCGTCAAACTATAAAGGATTTATAAAATCGTAAGTTAACGATTTAACGAAAATTCGCGATCGATTCTGAAATTCTTATCATTGTTCCTTGAGAAAATGTTCCGAGTACGTTTTCGCGGTAGATGCTACTCCTCGAAGTTGCTTCTCCTCGAAGACGTACCGAGGTACGTTTCGCATAATCGTGTCGTATCTAATACGTAAAGTAACCAGAGATGGCGCACTTTCAATGTTTTCACTCGTTTCCTCTATTCAAATATTTTCTCCACTGCGTTTATGTAAATAATTGAAACCGAACCAAATAAATCTTCGTTATTTAATGAATTTGTTATTGTTATTTTTTATTATTCGAAAATAAATAAACGAAAATAAAAACGCGGACAAATTACGTAAGTAATTTTTTAATTGTTAGGTTGCATAGCTTGACGGTTACGTACTATGTATACGGCATGTATGCGAAGAGTTGCGTACAAGATTTTCACCATATATACATGGTTAGATAAAGATATAATTTTTCAGTTTTTCGAAATAGATATTTATCTGCAAAACTTCTGTTTTTAAAATGTGCAATAGTAATATTTGAAAATAGGTTATTTAAACAATGGCGGGCCTAGAAAGCTACGAAAGAGTGTATCGAGGGAAATCTGTCAAGTCTTGGGAAAATGAAAACAATTTATCGTACATTTATCAAGGACGAGAGGTTATTCGTCCTTTAGATGTTCCTGCTGTACATCATTTGGCCGAAGATAGTCCTCCTTCCGAGGAAGGTCAGTTTCAGAAAAACAAAAAAGAGTACTTGACAAATTTTTCGATTACTGGTAAATATCAACGAAGAAAATCCGTTACAAATCTTCTTCGTGTTTTAGATCTTTCTGTAAAAAAATACATGGTTGCTGGATGTGGATTAGCAACTTTAATCGCGGAAACCCTACTAGTTCACCCTCTCATTGTCTTAAGGAGACAATGTCAAGTAAATCCAGGATTGAACAAATATCACATAGTACCTATTACCTTAATACCTGTAGTCATACGTCTTCATCAAACTCAAGGAATAAACACTTTATGGAAAGGAATTGGTTCGGTTCTGCTCGTCAAGGGGATGCTGGTAGCCGTAGAAGATTTTATTTCTAAAGTTACGCCGTGGCCAAAGTAAATCTACCTATTATATTATATTATATTATATTATATTATATTATATTATATTATATTATATTATATTATATTATATTATATTATATTATATTATATTATATTATATTATATTATATTATATTATATTATATTATATTATATTATATTATATTATATTATATTATATTATATTATATTATATTATATTATATTATATTATATTATATTATATTATATTATATTATATTATATTATATTATATTATATTATATTATATTATATTATATTATATTATATTATATTATATTATATTATATTATATTATATTATATTATATTATATTATATTATATTATATTATATTATATTATATTATATTATATTATATTATATTATATTATATTATATTATATTATATTATATTATATTATATTATATTATATTATATTATATTATATTATATTATATTATATTATATTATATTATATTATATTATATTATATCTTGAGTTCGTTCCATCAAGCATGAACTTGAAACGTGAAATTGATATTATCTAAGGTTTTAAATTAATAAGAGATTTACTGCTTTTAGGGAAATAACGTGTAATAGCTCGTTAAAAGCGTTCGGTCAACACATTCTTCTGAAATGGTAAACAGACGTTAACGCGCATATTTCGCTTGTTATAAACTTTACTAAAAATTAATCCGACGAAATGACAGTGTCTCTATAGGTTTAATCACGCCGTTTTACTCCGCATCGTTAGTGGAGACTGTACAGTCCGAAATTGCGTCTGAAAGTCCTGGAATCTTAGATGTTTTTCGAGATGGCGCTATTCGTTTGGTCGACGTGAACAACAAGGGTAGACTAATTCCTATATACGCTCTTCTGCCACCAACTATCGCTTACAAAGTGTCCAAATATCTTTTTACTCTGGCTGTTCGGGGAATTACTAGTCGTATTATGCACATCAGACAAAAACATTCTCAAGAGCTAAGGGTAAACTTTATATTAATGAAAATGAAAAACATCGTTCGTACGTAAATAACCGTCAGATACATATTTTACTATGTTTATATGTTATATACAGGGTGCGTACAGCAGAGATTTACTATCCGAAGCAACTCTGCAAGACATTGAACTTCGCTCGGCACTGATTTCTACGTTTATCGCCGAAGCATTGTTTTATCCTTGGCAAACGGTCATTTATAGACTTCATCTTCAGGGTACACGTACTATTATCGATAATTTGGATACCGGACGTAGCGTAACACCGTTGTTAACGGGATATAGTGGTGCACGCGATTGTTATAGTACAATCATTTCTACCGAAGGTCCTCTTGGTTTATATAAAGGATTTGGTGCTTTTCTTTTGGAATTTACCGTAAATATTGTAATAGTACGAGTAATTAAATGGATCGTGACAGAATTGGAAACGATACTAAGGCCGAAGCCAAAACCAATACGTGATCAATCGCAACATTGGTATTATAATGATATGTAAAAGGTGGAGAAAATTTTTCATGCTACCTTATTATCGATAAGTAATGTTTATTTAAGGATACGTTTCATGTATATCTAGATCGTACAGTGGTAAATGTGATATTGAGAATTTGACAGTTTCAATCACTCCGTTATCGTATTAACCTTTCCCTTCGTTTTAAAATAAATTTTATTGATGAAATTTTATTCTGAAAGTATTATGTACCTATTTAGGTGTATATACATATATACATATACACATGTATGTGTAGCTTAAGTTACTAACGTTTAAAAGCACGTTAATGAAAACAAAAGAAATTCTAAATTATCTAAGCTTCGGTATATTACAGTGTAAAATGCTAAAACCACAATTGTATATATAAAAAAGCCAGTTTATTTGTTCTAAATATTTTTTAGAATGACATACACATATTATTCTATCCAGAATGTTTCGATTGTAGAAATTAAAATCGCCGTAAAGATGCAAGTTACACAGTCGTCGAAAATATTTCTATTCGTCTACTGTTACTTTTTGATTTATTATCAATCAATTTATGTTCGATAACGCTTCTTACAATTTTACACCAGTACTTACATTTTTCTACTAACTTGCATCGTATATTACACAGCCTTTCAATTACATCTATTGAATATTTGTAAAATAAAATCAAATAAAAAAACATCAAATAATTGACCAGCAAATAGTTTATCATCATTTTCGCAAAATATATTCATTTCTTACTTTTTCTTTTATTATTTTTTCTAATTTATTTAATATATTACAAAAATCCTTGTTCTATTTATTAACATAACGTCATTCTGAGTTTTAAAAACAAATATCTTTTATATAATTTAAAATTTTTCCTAAAAATTATTTTCCCTATTATTTTTGTTCTAGCATCATTTATTTCAACTGTTTAGAATCGATCTGAAACGAAGCGTTTCGCTAGACATTTCGACTCTTAAAATATACCATATACACATGACAGTATGCATCAGTACATACTTTGTTTTGTACTGATATTCTATACTTTTCATGTACTTAATTGCAAATGTTTCGTGTAATGCAGGGAGAACTTTTCAACACAGCATACATTGCACGATATTTTTACAGTACGCAAGACTTGATAAACACGACTGATTTTGTTTATTTGTTTGTCGCTTTTTGTTTTTCGTTATCTGTTACAATGCAGTAACGCACAAAATATACGAACAAATATTAGACTCGTGAAAGACAGAAATATTTATATATCCGTATATGCGGTCAAAATATTTACAATCTACACAACTGTATATTCTATCTGCAATTAGATTTTTGTTCACTTTGTTTAATAAGTGAAATTTGGATAAATTTATTTATTCGATCGTGTGTGTGTGTGTTTACGCGATGCTCGCGTACTTATATATATATATACACACACATACATATATATAAGTGTGTGTATATTGTATATACACGTATGTACAAAGTGGACCAATGGGCAGAATAAAATTTTACAAGTAAATAACTTTTTTGTTAGTAAACTTGTAGTGCACGTTTTCATTGCAAGTATATATACATATATGTATACTATAACTGAGTCGTGGGAGAGTCGTTCAGATAAATTTAGCGAAGGAAGTAGCAAGTAAAACTAGGATTTCTTTCTTCGAACTTCTTTCCCACAACAATACATTCTGTGGAAATACATGAATAAATAGTGTACAGTCGAATAGCTTAAGAAGAATCATTCTCGCAAAAATTCGAACGTTAGTACCTTTAATATTAATTAAGGTTATATACAATGAAATCGAAAGAGCCTTACTTTGTAAGGCAACGAGAGTCAAAAAAATCTTCACACATTAAGCACACATTGCTTATTAGTTGAAATTAGTTAATTAATGAAAAAGTTATCGACATAAATCCTATTCCGTATATTGGTCCACTCCGTATAATAAAGAACCACTGATTGACTCGATTTATATACACATATACATACTTTTATGAAACCGGTATAATATCCTCGAAATTTCGTCTGCATCGACCCGTTTTCGTATCGATGTAACTTGTACTATAATTTTAATTGTTTAATAAGAAAAGAAATTTCAGAATTAAGAAGTAATTGTTTACAATTGTATCATTTTTTCGAGGAAAATCGGTCAAACGTGGGGTGTGTCTTTTGTATGAAGTATTTGTTAATTTTGTATATGTTGAGCTTGTAATTCGTCCTCAGGGACATCGCGCCTTTTAACATATTGCGGTTTTTCTTGTCCTCGTACACAACCTTCTGTTACATGAACAGACATTACGTCGCTACCTGGTACTTCGAACATAGGTTCTAAAAGCAATGCTTCCATAATAGCACGAAGTCCTCTTGCGCCCGTCTTTTTTTCCATCGCTAATGACGCTATAGCATTTAACGCATCCGCGGTGAATGTCAGTTCTACCTATAAACAAATAGGCGAGTTTGACAATAGTAAATTTTATAAAGAAAAAATATTAGATGCACGAGTAAATTTGATAAAATCGATGAATTTGTTCGTACTTTGTCCATTGAAAACAACATTTGATATTGGGGCACCATAGCATTTTGAGGCTCCGTCAATATTCTGACCAGCATATCCCTATCCAGAGTGTGAAAAGGTACAAGAACAGGAAATCTGCCAACAAATTCGGGAATCATACCAAAATCGATTAAATCTCTGGCTTCCACTTGTTGTAACAATAGATCTTTCTCTTTGTTATCTTTTTCTGTAGAAGGTGACATGTTTGCAACATCGGCTAAATTTGCAGCTCTTCTGCCAGGACTCTCCTTAAAGGGCGTAGCACCAAATCCAAGGTATTTTTCGGTTTTACGACGTGAAATCAGTCTATCTAATCCATTGTAAGCACCGGAAGCAACAAATAAAATATTTGTAGTATCAACTTGTAACGTGTCTCCACGCAATTTTCTCGAGCTATTTCTTTCGGGTACGTTTACGATTGTACCCTCCAACATTTTCAACATTCCTTGTTGAACACCTTCTCCGCCAACGTCTCGTAATTGATGTATACCAGGAACGGCACCGATTTTATCCACTTCGTCTAAGAATACGATTCCCATTTGTGCCCTATCGACCACGTAATTGGCATCTTGTAGTAGCTTCGCGATAACGCTTTCTATATCTTCGCCAACATATCCCGCCTGTGTCAGTGTTGTGCAATCACAAATAGCAAAAGGTACGTCCAAACACTGAGCTATCGTCTGAGCGAGTAACGTTTTTCCACTACCAGTTGGGCCAAGTAGTAGAATATTGCTTTTCTCTAATTTCAACTGGTGTTGCTTACTGTCTAAAATATCTGATCCAGAGGTCGACTGATTATCAGTCGATTTATGTTCGTTTCCTGTTGGAAACTGTTGGAAACCAACACCAAGCGAATTTCCAACGGTTGAAATATGCAATAAATCTACAATGAAAAATCATAATTATCGTCAATTAGAATTTTCGAATATTTAAATAAAGTTACAGTATAGTATTTAGAAACTGTTATTTCAATCAAGATTTCAGTTACTTCCGAACAGTAAAATTACAGTTAATCTATGTTAAGTGAAAACGTCAATGCGATGATCTTTAACGTTAGTATCAGTTTTTTTTTTCTATTTTTTTTTTCTTTTTTTCTTTTTTTTTTGTAGTTTATGGAAACGGTATGAAACGGTAAACTATTATTTACGTGGCTTAAGACCTCTATGAGTGAAGGGATGATTCAGATCTTGTGTACCAGTAGTGTTAATGGAACCTGGCATCGAATTCTGCACTGGAAAATTATTATAGATTCGTTTGTAGTGATTATAAACAGCAACGCTCAAAACTTTTTTAGCATGCTCTTGTCCTATAACATGTTTGTTTAGGTACTCAAAAATCTGAAAATACCGACACATAACAATTTATTTTATAATCGATCTTTCATTTTATATTGAAATATTCTATCTACATTTTCGATTTTATAGCGATTAGTTACCTTCTTTGGCGGTGGTGGTGGTTTTCTGTAAAATCCTTGTTTCGTGTCGTCTGTTCTTAAGGCTTCCTTAAGACTTCTTTTCGAATCTACCTCCGATAGAACAACGAAAAAGTGATGGCATTTTTCACATTTCACGAATCTCGTTGATGCTAATAAAAAAATGTTGTTGTATCTTACATGACTCGTATCATGTTTCACTACTAGTGTCTCTACTCACACACAAAAGTTTCTACGTGCGTACAAGGATCACCACATTTCGGACACGTAAGCGTATTCTTCTTCCCTCCGTTACTACCAACAGAAGATACTCCGCTACTACTATCTTTACCAGGCGGAGTAGGTTCCGTGGGTGCTTTTCCCAAAGTACCACTGATCGTCAACGATCTAGTGATAGCCACTCTTACAATTTTGTGAACTAATATAGAAATAGTTAATTATTTATAAACGAACAAAGGTAAATAATATCATACATTGCACGTATCCCAGTACTCACCATGGTTGGCTACATGCGTCCCAGACGCTATACGACCAGCGCTGATTAAACAGCAACGGACACAGCTCATCTTTTAATTTATACGAAGAAGAAAAATGCGTAAGAAAGTATTCGACGATAATTGTTAGTACTCCTCTAGGCACGATCTAAATTAAAACGAAACGCAATAAAAGCAGAGTACTCAGAATAATTTGATATATTATCTGTTTGTATAATTTATAAAAGTTATAGAATTAAAAAAAAAAAATGTCATATATACTGCTAAAAAAAAAAAAAATGAACTTGTTATCATATTGCAAGATTCGTGTCGTTGTTGCCGATTGCAAAGAAAATATCCGTAAAAAATAATTGCAAGCAATAATAAAATTTTGATAATAATTGCTTAAAACTCGTACCAGACGAAAAAGAAAGACGAAAAAAAAGAGCAGTTAAATTCGATGTATCATTCGTGTAACGATAAAAAGATAGCGATAATAAGAAAATTTCAAAACAGAGGGTATCAGAATATACAGATCGAGTGGGAGCGCAGTAAAGAAACACGACCGAAATGTACACATTCGAAAGCAAAATATGAAGACGAACGCAATGTCAATGTAAAAATAAACATTGAAAGAGCAGCTCGCAGTTAACAAATATACTAAAATATTGAAGATACTAACCTTGCAAATTAATACGAACGTATAAACTGTTCCTCGTTACTCATAATTTATTCATTTTTGTCACGAAATATGTAAGAAATCTAACGATCCAAAAAATCCAATACGGGTTGGTTATCAGGAACGAATCAGAGAAACAAATTAATTTAAAGAAACGACTATTTGACACATCGCATTATAAGGTACAACAATCGTTCGAAGCATGGTTCAAGGACATTGAACGAATTCCCTCCGAAATATTTAAATAACGTGCAATAACGTTCCTGCTTGTTTAAAATTTGGTCGATAATAACCGATGTTCAAGTAGAGAGGAAATAATTTCCATATCAATGAAATATCTAAAAATATTGAGAGAATTGGAGGCATATGATAGGTTCTTGTAAACACGTACTTACATACGTGGCGGATATATGTGTATACGTATACGTGAAGTCAGTCACGGTCACGAAACACTGATCCACTAATGGCCGAATGTCTTTTTAATAATATAAACGTCACGATCACGATCCATTAATTCGGTTACTTTGTTCTCACTCGTAAACAAACTTTATCCATTTATTTAGCGATAAAATTTCAAATCAATGTTTGTTAATGTTTTTTACGCGACCGTACACTATTCAGACGTAGTGACGTTTGTAGAAAATAACAAAACGTCGGTACGTCTGAACGCGTGCGGTCACTCGAGGGCGCTTAATATATGGATGCGCATATACGTTGTCGCGAGCATATACACGTAGATGTACTATACGTGCGTAGTAATAGATGTTTGAACATGTGTCAATAATAACAGTTTCATTTACCTTGCCTTGAAGTCGATTTTAATCAAAGTCAACTTTTCAAAGAATTTCGACCAATCGTAAATTTAGTCTTCTTTCCCCTTCCGCTCGGGCGATCCCCCACTCAATCGCGTCTCACGGTCCTCGATATTCTCTCTCGCGCGCTTTACTAACTCTACTCTCTATACTTTGTATATCATACAAACGATACCATCGCCACAGTGCACCGCACATTTTTAGGTTATATTAGGTTAGGTTGAACCGTACGCGCGTACATTACACGAAAGGATATCGGAAAGAGCCACCTTTAATTACGATAAAGACAATGAAAGATACAATTAATTCCATACAATATGTCTAACGACAAGGCCAGACAAATAGAAGTAAACAACGAAGTAAGTACTTTAACGTATCGTGCATAAAGTACAGAAAGATTTTGAAAAGCTTACGCTTTCGTTGTACTTATTTTGCTTTTTTCAGATTATTTTATTAAGACAATTTGTTCGTCAAGCTCGTATCTGCGTGATAAGTAAATTAGTTAGAGAAGCTAAAAAGTTGCGTGCCCTCCGCGGTAACGAAAAACAATTGGAGAGAAATAAAAACAAAGCGGATAAACTTTTGAAGGAAGTTTTCGCTTTGAAAGACATTAAAGATGACGAGATATCAAAATTTGGAATTATTAATTCCGATAATTTACAGGATATGTTAGAAAATCCAGGTACAGACGATGGAACTAAAGCCATGATCAAAATTGCGCGTTACAAGCATTTAAACGAGAAGATATTGAAATTCAAGGAGAAGTTTCCCGATTACAGAGAGTTTGTTCGCCAAAGGAAAAACAGAGATTCGACGAAAAGGAAAGGAAGAAGTAATTCCGTAGGTAATATCCCGAAAGCGAATCGATTACGAAACGATACGAATACCGTGGGAGTTGCCGCGTACAAGGAGAAGAGGAAAAAGAGGGAAAAGAGGGATACGCGTACCGTCACCGAAGCGAATCATTTCGAACGCGCGGTTTTTCCACAAAACGAAAACGACGACGATAACGATAACGGGCAAGCTTCTAACGAACTATCCGACGAATCGTTGCCACTGAGGAAGAAGCTGGAAGGAAAAGAATCGAAATTGGTCGTTAAAGTGATAAGCAAGGAGGCCGCTGTCAAAAGATTCGTCGAAGTGTTAGGAGAAACAGATACGAAGGAGGAAAGTAACGAACGCGAAGAGAAAGACGTTCGGCGATCTTCGAACGACGCGGTGGAGCGTAGTAAAAGAATCGATGACTTTTTCCTAAGCTTCGACGAAGCCGGCTCAAACGATGCGGTATCCTTCGTAGAGGGAAACGATAATCGTCGTGTTTCCGAGCTCGATCCTCGAGCGTTCGAAGCAGTTCGCGTAAAAAGCAAGGATGGGAAATTCTATAAAGATAATAGGGAAAGACGAGAGAACGGTAGGAAAGCATGGACGGACGGTAATAACGATATTTCTCGTGGGCCGAGTACTAAAAACGTAACGCGATCCGACGAAAAAGAAGATACACGATTCCAGAGAACGTCGAGATTTCCAAAGAGAAACATCGAGAATACGATAGAGACAAAAGACGAAAACCTGCATCCCTCGTGGGCCGCAAGAAAGAAACAACAGGAGATGATGAAGCAAGCTTTTCAAGGAAAAAAGATCAAATTCGACGAATATTAAAAAAAAAAACATGTTGTCCGCTTTATCAAAGCGGTTTCGTTATCCATTATCAAAGTAAAATAAGTAAGTCGTGTCTAATGGACATAATCGTGTGTAAATAAAAGAGAGAAGAAAGGGTAGGACGGTTATAACGTAGAAAGGTTCATTTTCGCCGAGGCCGCAATGCTCTTGTTCTCGAATTCGAATCGTTCATTCGCGTACATATAAACATAATAGTCGAAAAGAGGAAAAAATGCGAGAAAGTAATTACCCTGTTTCGTTTCGTTTGAATTTTTAATCGTAACTCGAAATCGTACAAAACTGGTAGGATCATTTACAAGGTTGCTCGTACATACACTTTAAAGGTGCTACTACTCGATCGAGCATTATCCGCGTCCAGCGCTCGAATAGAATTTCGACGAAATAATCGTCGTACCATGCAGATATTCGGGTAATCTACGCGACATCGTTTCGTTCCAATCGTCACACGATACAGTCTTAGATTGTTCGGCGATCGTCGTCGAACAACTGCCCGCGAACGGACGAGCTCGCAGAATTCGCCAGTCGATCATAACTGATTTAGTATTGAATCGTTTTAATCGTGATAATTAGTATTTGAAATTCTAAAGCGTTAACATACATTTACATATACAACGGTGAACATACTTAGCAGGCAAGACGAAACTCGATTTATCGATTTCGAAGATTTCTCTCGTGAAATTCGCGATACGTCGCAGAGAGCGTAACAGATATTGATTTTTTTTTTTTGTTAAATCTCCAAATAAATGATGCAGGATACGAATAAATGTCGAATCAGTGAACGTGTTCGATCCTTCTCTTTTCCATTTTGCTTGTTTTTTTTAATAACTTGAACGAATTACTTGGAGGATCTGTCTTCCCGTATCTCGAAACAATTTATTTCCGCGTGCGATGGAATTTTCATTCGTAACTCGTTGAAAGTTCGAACGGTAAATAACAGAGTACGTTGAAATTGATACGATGATCGATCGAAATCAAAGAAATTGTGGGATTTAAAGAAAAATGGAAAAACGAATGAAACAGAAGCAGGAGTTTAATCGTAGACAGTGCATCGCGCCTACAGTAGAAAGTAATTCGCAAAAGTTCGTGGGGAGAAACGAATCGTAAATAAATATGTTTGCGAAGATAACGATCGGAAAGTAAAGGTTACATTTGTTCCGTTTTCCATATCAATATGCATAGAACGTAAGAGAATAGTCGATCGTTTAGAGAAATAAAAGGAAGACGCGTAGATCGATTCGTAGAAAGAATCGAGAATGTTTCCGAAGCTGGCGTACTTTCGTTTTCTCACGTTATACCGTATGAAAATAGCTCGAATCGTAATTATTTTTTCTTCGAAAGGGTCCGTTGTTTCTCCGCGTGCATAACGAGCTGAGAATCCACGGGTAATCCTTTTCGCCGACGGACAGCATCTATGTATTTCTTGGCTCTGTTCTCGCTGTCGGGTTTGTCGCCAAAATGAAGGTATTCCTCGTCCGTGGACGGTGTCCAGTAAGGATCCTGTTCGATCACCTGCAACGCGAACAAAGTCGACATAATCGAACGAGAACGTAATAACAGAACGAGCCGATTTCGGTTAATGATACGACGCGAGGAAAAACAACCGATCGGTCGATCGATCACTCTGACAAAAGGCGAAGGAGATAGAGGGGCGAATGTACGAGATAGATCGAGAATCGTGAAAAGATGGTGAAAAGTGGGGAAAAAAGGTGAGATATCGCGCATTCCTTTTACGCGGAAAAACTTGCCTCCCAATGACTGAAAACCAGTTGGGGACTGGCCAACCCGGACGTTTGCGTTCGCAGTTCTCTGGCAAGCTGAAAGCTCTCTGGCACAGGCAACGTAGCTAGTACGCGAAACTGTCCACCGAATCCGAGCGCGCTTTCTGCCGCGATCACACGGCCGTGTCTCTTACCGAATGCTGCGTACAGTTTTCCTGGAAGAAAATCGAAATCGTTACTTCCTCTCCTTTCTTTTCTTTCTAAAACGACGACGGTGAAGTTTCGAGCGTTAGTATTCCTATGAAGAAATACTCGAGCAAACAGCTACGGTACGGTGCTTGCAGATTACGAACTCGCGCCGAATAAACTCTAAAAGCGCTCTTACTTTTACAAATATATGTTTGATCGGCATAACACCGAGATTTATAGGTATGTACGGTAGGTATTGCCGCGAACACGATATTCGTTGAAAAGTCGGACTTATTTTCGTTCGGTCGTTTCGATCACGATAACGTAGCGAACTCGTATTGGCGCGGCGTGGCGCGGCGTGGCGCGGCACAGAATTCAGTTCGTTCAAGGGAACATAGAGTTTCCGGTCGTAGGTTGCGGCACCTGCGCTCACCTGTCCTCCTTCATCCTTCTCTCGTCGTCGCGCCACACACCGTTGCAGCCAAGAATCTGGCATATCTTTCCCCACCGCTATGTCCTTTTTTTCTTTCCGCTTCTTATACTTTTTTTTTTCTTTTTCAGTCGGTCGCGGTAACGTTAACGATCTCGGCAGGCGCGCGCGTGCACCGATACATACGCGCACAATCCGCATTTCCCTCTCTCTCCCTGCCGTAACCTCAACCCTCGAGCATCGGATACAACTCGGATTCCAACGCTGTACAATCCCCGCTTCGTGACCCATCTCGATCTTCCCCACTCTCGGTACGCCGTTCTCGAACTCGAGGCTCGCTTTAAAATCTCCCTCTCCCCGTATCACTTTGCGCCGAGAGTCGGTTCATTCATGCTAACCAGTGGTTCTCCGCTCGATTGATTGCTCGCGATCGCGTTAGAGATCGCGTTAAAACCTTAAGAAGAGTTTCGACGTCGTCTACTTTCGAATACGATATCGTCGAGCGTTTTCAATCGCACGCGTTCCCTATCGCGAACCAACAGATTCGGTTAAACTCTGAATGCTCTGTGAACATATTCTACGCGATACGCTCGATTTCACTCGCTCTCTGTCCGATTCGATCCGATGGCATCCGATGCCGCTCTATTTGTTTTTACGATCGAGAACGAGAATAGGGGCAACGCGTACAGAGGAAAGCATGGTAAGAGGCGGAGAGAAAGACAGCGGTGGGAGTGAATGGATCACGGCCTTAGTCAATGAAACAGCGATTCTCAAACGAAGACGCGTAAATTCTTAAGTACGATCGCCGTTCGTTGTTCCTATCCCTATCCTATCCGTTATTTCAACACGGATACCTTGAATCGAATCTTTCTCGTCCCTGATACCGTATATAGCGATATACGGTATCGTTGCAGCGAACTTTCATTTTTACTAAAACGACAAAATCGATGTCCCACCGAAGCAGCGCATACTAATAATAACGCCTATACACGGTTGAATCGTAAGCTCGTCGAGCAAGTTTCGATTACATCCGAAGGAAACTGACTACGAAAGAGTTGTTTTTCTTTTCGAAGTCAACGAAGGAAGAAAATATCCAGGTACGGGGAAAAAATGATACGAGGAGAATAGGTAAGAGAAAATTGTCGAAAGAAAATTGTAAAAAGAAAGGAGGATTGACGCATAACGCGAAGGACGTGGGAAAAGTGTACGAAAGAAAGGAATAAATAAAGGCAAGGGTAAGAAAGCAAAAAATCGAACACGACATATAGCAGGGTGATAAAGATGCAAGAGGCAGAAGGTAAAAACAGAGAAACGAAATAGGGCACGACGAATCCGAGTAACGAGTACTTACATCTCGATGATGGACCACGCGAGTAAAGGAATAAAGTAAAGCGGAGTAGAATTACAACGGAACGGAATAGAACTAAACTGAATGAAGTGGAACGGAATAGAGTGGAATCGACTCGAGTAGAATGGACTGTACTGGACCGTGGTGAAGTGGAGTTGAGTCGAAGTGGAGTGGAGTGGTATAGAGTGGAAGTGGAGTGGAGTGGAGTGGCGTGGAGTGGCGTAGAGTGGAATGGAGAAAGAAGAAGGGAGTACTCATTCATGGTTTGCCTCCAACTGTTAGAAGTTCAGTCGAACGAATGGAAGAGATTCGCGCGCAGCACGAACGCTGCGAGCCGTTTAAATCTCGGACCGGCTCGAACGATGTCGCGGAACAGAGAACGTAAGACGGTGACGCGTTCTTCGTAAATGATAGAAGGTAGAGAAGGCAAGGACATCGGAAACAGTGTGAGACACGCGTATCTGGACCAAAAGCGAACGTTTTTGTGGGCTGTCGGTGAAACGCGCAATCTTATTTTCTCCCACGATGAAACTATACTTCGAGTAAAGTTTATCTAGTACGATCTATCTATCTAGAAATATCTAGTACGATCGTGTTTCGTGGTAGGCGAACAACTATATATCGTTAATACGATTGTCACGTACCGTATTTACCTTTCTCTCGAATCGATCGTTGAAATCCCGTCTAGATCTCATAGTGGAAATCTCCTATAAATCTGATAGAAATCTCGGCAGAAAAGACACGCAACGGGTTCGGTATCTTCAGGATGAGATTACGATACAACGGCATCGCATCGACCAGTATCGTAAAATATTCTTAACTGTTCGCAACGATGTTCGTAGCGGCTATTATATACGCATCTGCGAATATGCTCTATTCGATGGACGGATAGAGAAACGCGCGTTAATCCTATTATTTTTACGATCGTTATCCGTTTTCTTCGCCGCTAGTCGGTGTTAATCTTTTATAACGAAGAAAAATTTAGGAAAAGAAAGGAAAGGAAACATTAAAAAAGGAAAGAGAAGGGTGCGTGAGAAAGGATGGCCGAGTTGACGTGCTTGCTATTAGCGATGTTCGGGCAGCTGCTCGTTCGTGGAAGCAAGGGTAGTTTTCTTGGCATAGAAATGGACGAAACCGGGCAAAAATTTCTCAACGAATATTTATCCGTCGACGAGGGCAAGTACCTCGGTGAATTGCAGCCGTTTCGAGACACAGCGATCGAGCTCGATCTGATCGATCAAAAGAGGAAGCATCGACCGGTACATCAACCACCGAGAGTTCTCTATCAGATCGGGGTAAGTTCGATTTCGCGCGATACGCGACGATCTCTTCCGCGAGTGAACTTTCGGCAAAAAACATAGAACGTTAAATATTCATCTATCGAAATATTAAAGTCTAATCGTCGACGTAAAAGTACGCGTTAAAAAATTTCGATGCGTTCCTGTCGGTTCGTTCGAAAAGATAATTATCGGTCGAAACGAAAGCATTAACCGACGGGAAGATATTTGCCCGTTATACATATCTCGTTAATGTAATCACGATCGTTTCCCGCAATTTTCCGTAATTCGACGATTAATTTTATTTGATTTTCTCGATCGGCAAAACGTACAGAAAGTTCGCGTGTCCTTTTTTTCGTTTAACCGGTTTGAAGACCGCGTTCGAGTCGCGTGCGTGTGTATCTCGGATACCGAAACATTCGTTCGGATTGTCCATCGACGTACCGACGACGCATCGACGACGCATCGACGACGCATCGACACCACGTGTACATTGCTCGAATACCAGGTGTCATTTTCATCGTGGCTACGAGAGAACCGAGAGACGCGTGAGAACTTCCGGATGGATCGCTCAGCCTTTCCGGTCTCCCTATTATTTCGTTTTAGTTTGCTACCACCGAAGGTTTTGATACGGTCGATCTTCTGGGAATGCCAAGAAAAAAAGGGAACGAGGGAGTGAAAGAAAGGGAAGGAAACACGGGAGGACGGATCGGAACGGAACGGAACGGGACAGAATAAAAGTCTACTCACCGACAAACACGAACAAAGGGCGGGAAAACTGGCAGATAATTTTCGAACATCCGTGGTATCGTGGTGAAATTTAGTCGGTGAAAGTAAGTTTAGCGAAGGATAATGAACGAACGAAGGAAAGAGACAGAAAGGGAAAGGCAAGGCAAAGTGGAGGGAATTTTCGAAATTGAATTCGAGTCGCTCGACGAACGCGACTTAGATCGCGAACGACGCGAGGCGACAGGACGTACGTGATTGCCTCATTCAGTGGATTGACCGACGCCGTTTGAATAGCGCAGTTAGACCAGATGTCTATTCTTCGACGGAGAGGAAAGACGCGTGCATACTTCTCGAGCACGTTATACGAAGCTTCTTCCTTTGCCTCCGCTCGCTCTTTTACCAACTCCGACTCCAACCACTCGACTACTATCTCCCCTGAATCTCCCCTGCCCACCACCCTCCGTTCTCGCGTTTATTCTCTCGTTATTTCTCGAGCATCGCGGAAGCGTCGATCGGTGCTCGCGAAAAATCAACCAACAACCGAACTAGACGCTTCTTTCTCCCGATCGTTTCGAACGTTTTCATCGAACGATGTCGTGTCGTTGCTTTTATTTTTCCTTTTAAAGAACTAACGGATCTGGAATAGGTCGTTCTTCGTCCTGTAGTTAACCGGCTCGTACGTAAATCGAGAAACCGCGGTAAAACGGTCGAGCATTTTCAGGATATAAACGATTCCGCGTGTTTTACGTATATACGCGTTAAAAATCGTCTGCTTATCGAAGAAAACTACTGGAATATTCCGGCAATCGTAAGCGAGAAGCTTCGTAGCTACACTTTCAGTGCACGCGCGTACGGAAAACGAGCAATGGCAATAATATCCTTTCGCCTTTCGATCTCTCGACGCAAGGATCGAAGAGCTCGCGGCACCTATATACTTATCGTCTACGGCCTACGGTATCGAATCGAAAGGTCTAGCAATTGCTCGACGACGAAATAACGTAGCCGCGAAGTTTAGCGATAGGTAGAAGTAGAATAAATTTGTTCGTTCCGTAGGACAGCGAAGACGAGTTGCCCGAGTGCTCGGATCGAAGCGAAGTTTGCAGCAAGGTGGATTTATATGGGTCGCCGTGGGTCGAGAGACAATGTCGTTGTCCGGCTGGTCGAACCTGTCCTAGCAGTCTACACGGGGTCGAACATCCGTGGTATCGTGGTGAAATTTAGTCGGTGAAAGTAAGTTTAGCGAAGGATAATGAACGAACGAAGGAAAGAGACAGAAAGGGAAAGGCAAGGCAAAGTGGAGGGAATTTTCGAAATTGAATTCGAGTCGCTCGACGAACGCGACTTAGATCGCGAACGACGCGAGGCGACAGGACGTACGTGATTGCCTCATTCAGTGGATTGACCGACGCCGTTTGAATAGCGCAGTTAGACCAGATGTCTATTCTTCGACGGAGAGGAAAGACGCGTGCATACTTCTCGAGCACGTTATACGAAGCTTCTTCCTTTGCCTCCGCTCGCTCTTTTACCAACTCCGACTCCAACCACTCGACTACTATCTCCCCTGAATCTCCCCTGCCCACCACCCTCCGTTCTCGCGTTTATTCTCTCGTTATTTCTCGAGCATCGCGGAAGCGTCGATCGGTGCTCGCGAAAAATCAACCAACAACCGAACTAGACGCTTCTTTCTCCCGATCGTTTCGAACGTTTTCATCGAACGATGTCGTGTCGTTGCTTTTATTTTTCCTTTTAAAGAACTAACGGATCTGGAATAGGTCGTTCTTCGTCCTGTAGTTAACCGGCTCGTACGTAAATCGAGAAACCGCGGTAAAACGGTCGAGCATTTTCAGGATATAAACGATTCCGCGTGTTTTACGTATATACGCGTTAAAAATCGTCTGCTTATCGAAGAAAACTACTGGAATATTCCGGCAATCGTAAGCGAGAAGCTTCGTAGCTACACTTTCAGTGCACGCGCGTACGGAAAACGAGCAATGGCAATAATATCCTTTCGCCTTTCGATCTCTCGACGCAAGGATCGAAGAGCTCGCGGCACCTATATACTTATCGTCTACGGCCTACGGTATCGAATCGAAAGGTCTAGCAATTGCTCGACGACGAAATAACGTAGCCGCGAAGTTTAGCGATAGGTAGAAGTAGAATAAATTTGTTCGTTCCGTAGGACAGCGAAGACGAGTTGCCCGAGTGCTCGGATCGAAGCGAAGTTTGCAGCAAGGTGGATTTATATGGGTCGCCGTGGGTCGAGAGACAATGTCGTTGTCCGGCTGGTCGAACCTGTCCTAGCAGTCTACACGGGGACGACGGACACACGATAGTCGACAAGACGCGGCAGTACAAGCTCTGCGAGCCGGTCAAGCGTCTTCCTATCTGTCGTTACTTCAAGTTAGTCGATTGTTCGTTCATTCGTTCGTCCTTTGGCCTAAGTAAATTAGATCGAAACGACGCTTCGACGAACGCTTTGACGAACGCGTAACGCGCGTACATATCGAGAACAAGATGGCCGTTTACTGTTTACAGGGACGTGACATGGACCTTAGCTCCTGGAGGGGGCCCGGCGAACGCAACGGTTCAACGGGTTTATTGCCGATGTAGACCGGGCAGCGTACCTTATCTAGTTCGAAGGCAAGCTTACGAGTCTTCCGAAGGAAGTCCACGATTTATCTACGCTTTCGCTTGCTCTCCTCAAAGCGTGAGTCGTCTCCTTATTGAATTTTCTTCGACTTTCATCGCGTCGATTTCGCACGCGTTCGGTTCGGTTCTCGTTTCTCGACCGAAGGATAACGCGAGCCGATCAAAGAAACGACGAAAGAACATACGCGAAGAAGAAACGTTCGATTTCAGAGGCTACGGTGTCAACACAAGGAACCCTGTCGCCTGTTTACGGTGCGAAAAAGACGAAGCTCGCAACTCGAGGAGGTGAACGCTTCGCCGCTGTGCCAATGTCCGAAGGGTCATCGATGTCCTAGACGGCACACGGATCCAGGATCGCTTCCCGCGAGATCCTATTCCGGCGTTTTGGAGATTAAAACTTACAGCGGATATTGCGTACCCACGCAGCCACCCCATTCCGAAGCTGTTTATACAATTTGAAACTGAAACGCGTTGCGTCACGCTCCGCCTCGCCTCGCCTCGCCTCGCCTCGCCATGTCATCTATTTCAATTGCGTACTAGCCATGTACACGGTCGCGGTCGTGGTCGTTCGAACGAAACTTGCCTTACGATTTACGATTCGATTATATCGTAAGCAGCAGCTCTTTCGACAAACGACGAGCGCTGCCTACGTACGCGTCACTGCCAATCATTCTTTAAACTAAGTTCGATGCGATTCGTTCGACGATACATCGTCGGGTTTTCACGCCCTCGGGCATCCAGTGTCGTAACGTCGACGCGACATCTTCTTTTTCTTCTTTTTCTTCTTTTCCTTCTCCCTCTCCCACTCTCTCCCTATTTCTATCCCTCTTATTTATCTCCTTTCTTTAATTTTAATTTTAATTTTAATTTTAATTTTAATTATAATTTTAGTTTTAATTTTAATTTTAAGTTTGTTCGAAACGATAGCTCTCTTAGTACTTTATTCGAGTTGACTTTAACGTTTAGTTGGACCAAGTATCGCGGAAATTGGAAAGTTGCCGACAGACCTCGCTAGGAAATACTTGTTATTTATGATGTCGCGTGATGTTCGTATATTTAAACGCGTTACTAATAACGCATCTATCTATTAACGTTACTGTCAACCAAGTTGTTCGCGAATCTTATTCGGTATCACGTTATATGTTATATTATTGTATATGCGTAAGGTCGTTTTTGTAAATATTCGATTCCCTAAGTCAACGGATTAAAGAAATCGATATTTCTGACATTCTCGTTATTATTATCATCGTCACGCGTTGTCGTCGTTACCAATGCTGATGTTATTTCGCATGTAAAAGAGTAATCATTGAATCGTAAGCGCTGCAGCGATCGATTTCCTTTCGCTCCACAGAATACTTTCGACAGATGTCGTTGGTTTGTTATCTGGTCAGTCAGCAGTTACCATTGGTCATTGGAATCATTCGCGATACGCACATTCTGATTCTCTCGCAAGTTTTTCCAGTTTACAAGTTTTTCGACAACGCATACGTAATCGACCGGATCGACGTGTACGAATAGTAATCGTACGCGTTATCTTTTATAGGTGTCGCTACAGCGTCGTCGAGACATTTACCACGCACGACGCTAGAGGGCTACGAAAAGTGTTTCGCGACCGATACCGGTAGTGTCCAGGTAGGAGCACCTCGCCGCAACATCCGTCCAACGATCGATCGAAATTTTCAACGAACAATTTAGTCGAAAAAAGTATGACGAATAACGAGTTCGGAGAATTAGGTGAAAATTAACGATACGTTTTACGTAGAAAGATAACGCGGAGAGCGCGATTAAAAGAAACGTATCGTTACTCTTGACGCTAGTAACCGGTCAATCGGTCGTAGCCTAGGGCCTAATCGTAATAGATAACGGACGACATAGCCATATTCGGGGCGCGTATGATCGGTGGGTGCCGCGTCGATATGAATGCGAAAATAGTATATTTCGATCGGGTTTAATTAAATAGAACCGCGCGGATGGAGAGCCTTGCAGCGGCTCTCTTCGGAGATCTGGGTTCGAACGGCGATTAACTTGCCAGCCGGATAGATTGTCGACGAGAAACGGAGTGATTTCATGCTCGATATATTTTTCTGGTATCCGATCGAACGCGCGAAAAATACCGGTACCGTTATCGATGCTTCGAATCGTTACTCGTAACGTTGTTCCCAGCAGGACATTATTACGTTTCATCGAAATTACGTTACGATAACTTTCTTCAAAGTTCACGCGACCATTATTTTCTATCGCGATAACGATAGAACGAGCTAACAATCGTGTTTGAAAAAGTTGAGAGATCGTAGGGAAGAGGGAACGATCGAGGGAGACAGACGAACGAGGAAAAAAGCGCGACAAGAAGGACGGAGAAGAAATTTCTCGCGGGACTCGACTCTCTCGAATCTCGATTCTCTCGATTGCTAGTCGTTGCGCTCTCGGCGTCCCCCGTGACGGAACCTCGATTCTCGATTCTCGATTCTCCATGGTTCTCGCGGTTCTCGTGGTTCCGTCCCTCTCCGAAGAAGGGTCGATCGTCGATGTACCGGTACACACGTACAGAGGAACGGCCGGTGGAGGTAGAGCAGAGCAACGTGTAGGTAAACGTAGAACGCGAAGGAAGGAAGAGGATTGGCGGAGATGCGGCTTAGAATTCCACGCATAGTCAAGGGGTTTCTGGTTGGTTGGTAAGTGGGACTAGCCGGGACTCATAGGCAGTATGTCCTCCACGGGAACTCGCAGTCCCATTCGATACTCCGAAACGCGCTTAAACGCGACTTTCTTACTTTTCCTACTTAGTACTCGAATCGTCGTGTCTTCGTAGGTTCGTTTTCCGTTCGAGCGTTACTTTGGTCTCCCGATATTCGATGGAACGGTGGAGCACGACTCTCGCGACTGAAACAGCCCCACGGCTCGAATATCGTTACCGGTAATTCGGCAGAGCCGTGATCGGTAACCACGGTCGCGTTATTTTTCAAACGCGAATCCGACTGGTCGCGATTCTCTCCCGCGAGTTCTCGTGCTAGGAACGAACATTGGTCGGTGTACGTTCGGACGAAAATACCCGATATAACGTTGGCGTTCGTCGTCGCTACAAGGACGCCGATCAAAAGCCGAAAATTAGATCGTGATCGAGTCCGAGATTAAGGCGAAGGTCGACGGTAAGATCGAGGCCCGGATCGATACCTATCCAGGTCATTGTTGAAAGACAAAGGTAAGTCGAGTGGACCGGGTTACTCGGCCGATTCGAAAGATAAACTTTCGAATGGTCGTGATCGATTTCGAATCGATTTCTCGCTTAATCGCGGCCAATTGATCAGCTTGACGAAAAAACGATCACAAACATCGTAATCCTTTCCGAAGCAAATTAATTCACCAGTCGACTGTTTATATTTTGTTGTCGAATTCGATACTCGTTCGTCTCGGGATGCACTGGTTGCGCGTGTCAAGATGAAACTAATTAGATCGCTGCAACCCGCGCGGTTCGAAAACTTTTCCGCTATAAATGACAAGAGCTGCTTTTTGTAAAAACAATACCTTCCAAGAATAATCGTGGGAAGGAAGTAAGACGACCGAGGAAGAAAAGGCGCGAAAAAATAAGAAAACGAAAGGAATATTCAGACGCGAAGAAAATATGCGTGGATAGCTCGCATCGCACCGGCCGAGTGTCACGGTAGATAAGTATGTACACTGTGCACTGATTGGTCGAGCGGATCCTAGTGGTACAACTGCACGCGGCACGGCCTTGAAAATGCAAAGATAACGGCTCGCGAGAAACGTACCAGGTTAACCTAATTTCACCGTATCCGCATGCTGAATTATATCGCGCTATAATTACTACGGCATAGCATCCCGAACGCGAACTACAACTCCAACGCGACTACGACTACATCGCGGCCGTGGCCAGCATCGCTGCCACGACTAACGATCACGACCATGCGAATAAGGAAGCGAGAAAATCGTTGTATCGTCGACCGCGTTCAGTCGCGCGTATCGTTCGCGAACCGATCGCTTCTAAACTTTCGACGAGTTTTCCGATCGAAAACCTGTAACGTTTCTACATCGGGAAGGAAAGAATTATTACTTTTCGGACATTCCGTGGTTGAAACGAGGCCTGTGTTGGTAGGAAAAGGAAAAATCTGTAAATACAGAAGGAAAGAAAAAGAAAAGAAAAGGAAGCGGCGAGGGTCAGGAGCGCGAGAAGGGAAGGGTAGAGGATAGAGGGGAGATCGCGGAGAGATTCGCGGAGAGAGTCGAGCGGAGAAATACACGTGGGCCGACGTGCCACATCGCGGCTCGTTCGTCTTTCGCTGCTCGCCGTTCGTTTTGTTCGGTGTTAGCTGCTCGATTCGCGTGTTTCAATTTCGTGATCGAATCGGATCGGATGAAACGACAAGGAAATCGCTGGAGGTTCGGTCGGTCGACGAAAGAAAATAAAAGAAAAAGCAACGTTACCGTTAAGCAGAGTTAAGGGAGCTCGAACTCTCCCTCTGCGTTCTCCTTCCCCTTGTCACTTTCCTCCCTCCCATTTCACTCTTCTCTACGGCCTACTGCTCTCTTCGATGAAACGGCTCGGCTACTCTCGCGCTATCGCTATACCGCGAAAGCTACGGAGAGACGCGTGAGAAACGAGAGCATCCACGACACGACACGACCAAGACCACGACGACCACGGCTCTCGAGATTCCGCGTCGTTCTCGTATTCCGTACACCGTCCACGGTCACGGCCACGGATCCGCTTCTTCGTCTACGTCTGCTAAACGCGAACGCGGAAACAGCAACGGGATTCGAACGTGCTCTCGTCAAAATGTCCCTTTTACTCGCGGCTCGTCCTTTCATACGTTTCGTTCGTTCGTTTTAGGTCACGCAACGGATATACGTAATCGTTACGGAGCGAAACGCGATAAACTCGCGTTCCTTTCATCTTCCCGTTGATCGGAGAACTCGCCGAGATAATGCAGTCGATTCGAGGCGGTAAATGGTTCGTGGTGATGATCGTTGGAAGCATGGCTTTACCGCCGCAATCGCAGATCGACGTTCGAAGTGCCTTGAAGGGGAAGCAAGCGATATCCGTTCTCGAAATCGATGCCCAGTTGGACGATGCATCTTCGACGATTTCATCGAACGGTAGCAACGCCGTAATCGGCGGCACCGCTAGCGTCGGAAACAGCATCGACGTCGACGTTAACGGTAACAGCGACGACAACGGTAGCGCGAGCATTGCCGCTAACACCGTATCGAAGCCGGTTTCTCCCGATCTTTTCGTTTCGACGATCGACCACGGAACGAGCCCGGCATCGTCCTCGTTAACGCCGAGTTTAACGGATCGCTCCTCTCTCGCCGAAACCTCTTCGACGACCGCCTCGTCGACC